TTACTAATATCTAATGCACTATACTGAAGAATCAAAGATTCAGTGATGAAACCTTTAAAATTATTGTACTGTATATTTCTTATATATTTCTTATATTTCTTTAAGAAACAGTTTGAGCTTATTTACCTATTAGAGTACAGAATGGAGATTTATCATATGCATCATTACTGCTTTTTTAAATAAATGTTTTTCACTTTTCAAAGCTTTTCTACAAATATTTTGCTTCTTATTTCTTTTCATGAGATTGATGATATAGAGGTAATATAATCCAATAACTTTATAATTTCTAAAAAGCTTTTAAGCTTCAACCATAAAAGTACACCATAGGTATTTAATTCATTTGGTTTTATTGCCTTACTATGACATATCCATATGCATTTCATCATTCTTGTATGAAGAAAACACCAAATGTGGATACTCAGAGAACAAAATGCACTATGAAATTTATTGTTGAGGTGAAAACTGTGTTGATCATTCAAATTGTGCACTTATATTGCAAATATAGGAAAAACAAAACAAAGTGAAAAAGAAGGGTAGAAGTATTAAAACTAAAAATGAATTATGAACACCATTGGAAGCATAAGTGTTTTGATGATTATTTGCATTTTGCCCAATTTATATATCAATACAACAAAATAAAAATGTGCTACAACTTTACAAGTATTTGATGCAGTTGCACTTCAGGACATCACAAAAAGGTTACTTAAAGTAATTTCTATACAATATTGTTTGTTTTCATTTACCAAACCTATGCAGACTTGAGTCTTTTTGAAATTTAATACGAAACTCAATTACAGAAAATCCGTAAACATCCAGAGATTTAATATTTACTTTTTTAAAGAAACAAGTAAAAATCCTACAATTTTGGCGAAAAAAGCCATTGCCTATTCCACGAAAAGAAGCAAAATAGCAATGATAACAAATAAGCTAAATTCTCTCCCGTGAGCCACTGTGGAGATGAGCTATGATATACTTTTTTGTATAGACTAAATAGTTTAATCGATCAAACAAGTTTGACGCTGGTAAGAAAACGACGCATATCTGCATTCATAGATGTGTAGCCGACATATAGCTCTTTCGTCGATAGTTATAAATACATCCTCGTAGGAGCCGATAACTGGAAAGCTAGGTTGACTCGCTGTTACGAATTGTAGGTTTTTATCGTGATTTTCATCAAAAAATTGTTTGCCGAATCCCAAATACACACATACATTTTCTTCACTCTTTCCTCAGGAGGGAGTGGGAAATTGTGAAATTTTCGTAAAAGCGGTCAATTTCGGTAAATCTCAGCGGCAGCGGACGAAATCCGCCATTTTTTGGCGTCATCAGATATCTAAGGCCGCGCTTGAGATAGCCGCTCCAGTTATTATAGAACTCAATTCGTTTGACCGATTTCGATTTATAGCCAACTGAACTAACATAGTCAAGCTCATTGTCTGAATTGAATGTTTGATCGTTTCATCGTAATTTTTTAAAACATGATAGAAACTAAACTACAATCAGATGGAATTTATGGAAATCTTTTACAAATTCATATATTGACATGCTGCTGTCCAAACTGTGATTTTTTTCAAGAGGGTGAAAAATTTATGGATGAATTGTAAATACTTGGCAAAGACGATCTCGCGAGCGACATTTCAGTGATTGATTTGCAAAAGCAAGCCAACAATATTTTGAGCTTTCTCAGCAGAAATTTACATCCAAAATCGTAAGTAAAGGACAACTGAAGTGTATGCATGAATGTAAAATATCAAAGTCAATTTATGCGAGTATGTGATGCGATTTATGTCAATATGGCGTATGGTAAGCAGATTGATGCTTCTAAACTTGTTGTTGCCGACGGAGCTATGATTTCTTTAGTGCCTGGGGCATCGTGGCCGTTATATGGAAGCGAAATCCTACATTCCTGCAAATATATTTCAATGGACAAAAATCTGTAGCCATAAGGCGCCATACTATTATTTACTTTATCATTACCAAATGTTTCGGGCTTTTCAGTCTATGATCATTTATCATTAAATCATTAGACAGTTATACTACACATTGTTTAAGATTTGAGAAAACAAACATTGATTACATGAGAAGCTGTTTACTATAATCTGTGATTTTGAGTCCTTTCTGATCCATGAAGCTTTTTATTTTGACAATTTGACTGGAATGATATTAAACCTGAGTATTTCACATACATAAAATGTTGTGGCATGTCACATTGTCCCCTTTTCTAACTGAACACCTCATGTGAGATGTCAAGCTGTGTTAATCTACAGCTCATACCAGATTCTTTGCCATAAATTCCAAAGGGCTATTGATGTATAAAAAACATTTTCTACAAAGTAAAAATGTGTTCCTATGTATGCAGATAAACCTTGAAATTTGGCAAAATAGCAAAGTATTTTTCATGATCACTAGGTAATTTTTCTGATGATCATTATAATTTCTAAACTAAATTATTTCAGATTTACATTTAAACAAGCTTTGATCATATGAAAAGATATTTATCATAACCAGTAAGCATGACACAAGAACCAATTTTAACATTCATGTAATTATATAATTAAAGATATGTTGGTTACATTCTGTTTGCATTGGCAAATACAATGCTACTGGTGATTACTATATAGCACACCTTGCATATACTTACACAAGATAATATTCTAGTGAAATGCCTAAGAAACATTAATGGCATTAAGCTGTCCTTAATTACAAGTTTTCACTATGATAATTTTTGCTTATTATTTGGCAGAAAAAATTTTGAGTTTTTCCCAAACGTTGTATTAGCTGGCACTGTATGTGGAAATGGGTAAAGGGTTACAATAAACTTGCATGGTTTAAAGTCTGAGCTTTTCTACATCTATGGACTGTCCCTTGTAGTACCAAATTTCTAACTTAACTCATTACATAGAGATTTGAATGGGGATCTTTAGGGGGGTCTAGGCCTGATAATATAGTAGAAATTTTTAAAGACAAAATTTTTTTTTGGAATAGCATTATTAAAATAAATTTTATGTTCCTAGACATGATAATGAGCCGTATATTTGGCATGATGATGAGCCTAAATATATGGCAAAACATTCAAGTATTGTTCACTTCAGTTTTTTTTGCAAAAAACGTAAGCAAAATGTGTTGTTTTTACACAAAAATGATGCCAAAAAAATGCATTTAGGAAGCGCTTTCTAAGGAAACTCAAGATGCAAGGTGCCATCGATAATAACACGTATTCTAAGATCTTTCACTTGGGCTCACAACCAGAAAGGTTTTACGGCCTTCCAAAACTCCACGAACACATTGACAACAACACACCACCTCCTTTTCAATTAATTTATTTGTTTTATTTATTATATTAGGGTACAGACTTTTCTTGATTTAAATTATAAATTTTGCAATTAAAATTGTTTAATAATTCTAACAATAAATGATAATTTTGATAATAGTTTCAATCAAATCTCTTCTCTAATACCTTGTTAACCATATTAAAACATATGCATGAATGTATTTTAAATTTAAAAGATTAGGATAGTATATTTTGTTGTCAATCCAAAACATATTTATGTCCTTTAATGGGATTTCTATATTTTTGGCACTTGTTCAAGGGTACAGGATACGTTTCTAACGATTCTGTAAGTGCTTCAATTGCTATGAAAGAAAGATTATGCCATCTTAAACCTTTCCTGATTGAGCAAGATACATCAGTGTTACCATAAGTGGTATATACCTTTGACAGTCCTTAGAATTTTTTGCACAACCATCAAACTTCTTGTCTGCCAAACTGTTATTGTTGAAGTGTAAGGTTATTTTTCAAGTAATGCATTCATTGGGGCAGGTCTCATGACTTCAAGCTCCTTTATAGACTGCTTTAGTTTTTTGCTTTTTGTTGCATCAAACACCACAAGCCTTATCACATGTGCGATATGAATGCAATACAATTTGATATGTACTTACCCGAAGATGCCGTCACGTTAGTCTCGTAGAAGTAGAAAGCTCTTCAGCATTTGTTGTTTTGTTTTGTACAGTGGGGAAAGCATAATTTTTACAACTATACTCATAACAGATTCTGAACCCGGGATTCTTACAGAAGAACTCTCAAAATCATCGTAAGAAAAATGCTCGGAACAAGTCTGGATTTTACAGTCGGTGACCATTTCTATAGCAGCTTTGTCCGAGCAAATGCTATGCACATTCTCCGCCTTTTTCTCCCTACAATATCATTTTGGGGAAATTTATGATCACCTATGTTTTTAAAAGCATCAGGAGTATTTGAACAACCACCAGCTAGACATCTATTCGGCATGTTTTTTATAAAATGTAAAAATTAAGTACTCCTCTAACGCTGTATAGGTGTAAAAAAATACAAGTTGCTGATGTTGGGTTCCTCGCTCTACGTCACTCTACCCAGGCTTTCGATATTTCATTTGGCCGTGACAGAAATTTCAATGTCGTTAAAAATCGCCATTTTTGCAGTTATTTATGCTCAAAAATCTAGTAAATATGACGTAAAGAGAATTCGTTTTCGGGAAAGATGTTTATTTGGGGGTTATACTTTTTGTTTATCAAATGGAAAAAATTGGGTGATAGGCACTTTAAACTTCCTTACATTGGCTCTCATGTGCCCTCTCACACTACCCAACAAAAACAACAAAACTTAACAAAACGCTTTCGTATTGACCTAGACATTAAACTTGTTTACTCCTCCTTTAAAACAAAAAACATTTTTAGTTTCAAAGACACCATTCCCTCCTTACCCAAATTATGCGTAGTATACGAATTCTCATATGCAGGATGTAATTCCTGTTATATTGGTAAGACAACTCACCATCTCTATACACACTCGTCAAAGAGCACACACATTCTGACAAAAACTCATACATTTACAAACACCTCCGCACTTTACCACAATGTAAAACCAAATTTAATCATTCTTTTTTTCGCATCCTAGACACCGCTAGCTCTTCTTTCTCTTTGAAACTCAAGGAAGCGCTTTACATAAAAAAACTCAAATCGAACCTGAATAAACAAATACATCACATCAGCACGATATTCAACTTGTAAATAATTCCATCATCTAGTAATTCGATACCTCTCACTTAAATAATATAACTGTAAATAGATATCATCATTATTCCTTGTACTGAATATGGCATAAGCATGCCGAAACATGTTTACTTTAACGAAAATTGTCGTACACTTGAAATGCTTAATATGTATATAGTGCTTTTAAGAAATTATGGAAATATCATATACAACTTAGCACAAAAATATGAGAGGAAGAATAGTAATGAACAAGAATAAATTATCATGATCTGGAATCGACTAAAATGCTTTCAATTGATTTGGTAAATGTTTAGAAGACAAAGTGTCATGACTAATTTTGTGTGCGCGTTTTATGACGCAAATTGGTGGGCTGCAACATTTCCACTGGGAGTAAGAGAACAATTGAATGCTCGCTATGTTGGATGAAATTTGCATTGTAAATAAGAAAAATCTTTTGTTAAAATCATCCAGCATGGCGTCTATGACGAAGCTTGCAACCCAAGAATTGTTCAGTTCATATGTCAATCAATATATCGTTCAGAAGCATAAATACAAGTTGTTGCAAGAAATGTTGCAGCCATGACATACGTAGGTAAATGGATTTTTTACCGCTTCAGTATTCATAATGACAAACCACACTCATTACTGAATCCTATGTGTGCGTAATAGTTCTGCTCACTGGACCATAATGTTTCCATGATACGAAAGAGTAAACTACATAACTGTAACATACTTCAATTTGTGTAAAATACTTTAATTTGTGTAAAATATTTATATTTTATGTGAAACATGAAACTTTGGTCAATTTTGCTTATAGATATAATAAGACATACTTAAAGGAGTCACTGGATCTCTGAAACATTGTATATTTGTTCTTATGGTTTCGTCCTTCATCGTAAGTCACCTTTCAGAAGTTCACATTAAACCAAACTCGGTATTTCTTACATTGTGATGCTCGATTTGATTCAAGTCACCACTTTGGTCCCATTTTATGAAGCGATATTTGTCGCGTTATTCCTTTGTATTTTTGTAATACAAATTATAGTTGTTTTGCCCGCTTGAGCTGCCCTCTTCACTGTTATTTTTGAGGTGTTGAACTAGCACTTTCTCTAGTGCTAAACTGACACCCACCCGTGGTGTTAAATAAAAGGTGTTATTATAACACCAATATTGGTGTTGATTTAACAACATATGACCTGAAACATATTGTAGCGTGTTAAATTTACACCTCAGCACTTTAACACCCAATTAATAGTGCTGAAATAGCACCTTGTTCTGCCACAAAAGTGCTAAAGTAACACTGTTTCTTGGTGATAAGTGGTTGGTGTTAAATTAACGCTATTAGCAAGAGTTACAATAATTTATAAAGGGCGGTATTTCTGCACCACTCTCCTTGTAAAATCATGGGTGTCAAAATAGCACTTATTTCAACTGTTTTTTTTAACTTATTTTTATACTTATATCAAACTGCAGCTGTTTTCGTTCTGTGCTGTTCCTCGTATTGCGCACGATGTTATGTTTTCGAATAAGGTGATTTCTCAATGATAAAAATTTCTTAAACGTCCTGGCACAACCATCGATGCCACAAACAACATGAAAATTTGGTTCATCACGATGAACACGGCCAATATGTGTTATTAATAATTGAAGAGAATCTGAAACGAATTCTAGGCAAATATTACATCGATATAGACGCTCCATGACATAATTCACTTCAAGAATACAATTCACTTCTGAAGAGAGTGCCGGCTCAACTCTGTTACCATATATGGTGTGAAATGTGATATTAGCGACTATATGCAAAAACGCGGTAAGATGCTTATAGCCAACTGTCACTGCCACACTCTCTCATATTTCATTTCATGATTTTCATCGTGATTTCATCTGTTTGTGCAGCGTTGTCAAATTATATTTTATTGTGAACTAAACGTAAAAGTAAATATTACCAGGCTTAAAGAGCCATTGGATTTAAGTTATTTGGTTTCGACGATCTCCCTTCTTTTAAAAAGGTAAATACAAAGCTTTTTTGAATGTATTTTCTTATGAAATTTCTTGTGACACATACTTCTCCTCGTGCTTATATTTCATGTAGAAATTTTTGTATTTGTGTTTTACAAATTTTTATGCGTTTAAGGTCGGATGGATTCCACGTTGCTTGATAATCTTAAGAAGGCAGGGGTAAAGGACAGTGTAATTTCTATTCTTGAAGATGAAGAGGTATGTGTATAAAATTAATTTTAGCATGAGTGCGTGAATTTTTGCGTGTTGACGTTGTGACTAGACGACTTTTTGTTGCTTTTGTTAACACTGCTTGGTAAATATTTATTCCATACCGAAAAAACAATACTTGAATTTAGTGGGGAAAATTATTGAGGGAAATAAAGTGTAAAGATAAAAAATGTAATCTAAGACGTCAAGTAATCTAAGACGTCAAGTAATCTAAGACGTCAAGTAATCTAAGACGTCAAGCATTATGGGTGAAGATTCAACTGCTGTGGTTCCAAACTACATTAGACTATGAAGTAAAAATACCAAATCATTATTATTGCAGCATGCTAAGTTGATGTTCGAATAAATTACTTCATTTTTTTTACTCCGGTCCGGGGAATCCTGGCTAATGTTAAAGCCAATAAATTAAGCTGTTTTAGTAATTTAAAAAAGTTATTTGGAAAACGTTTTTAACAATGGATTTGAATGATAGTTCTCACTCGGAAAGCGAGTTTTACTATGCCGACGAGCTTGGAAATATCGTGGAAAATGTTAGCGAAAATATAGCAGAAAACGTAAACATGGATGAAAGGGACGAAAGTTTTACGCATGAAATTCAAGATTACATTAAGGCACAACGGCCATAACCGCTTGACAAAAATAAATACGTTATTTACCGTTTATATTTCGGTCCGAATAGAAAAATAGTTCCTCTTGAAATCAAAAACGGCCTTTGGCCTCGGGTCGTTTGAGACCTCTGGAAAACATTTTTACATTTATTTCAACCGCGTTCAGATTGGTCAAAGCCCAATCCAAACATCAAATGGCTGTTCTTTTTTCGCTTGAATGGACCTCTCCAAAGTCTCGGTCCGTACAAGCGAAAAAACAACTTGACCAGTATCCTCCTGTACGAACCTCTCGCTCAGTCATTAACATATATATATCTTTTTAATTTAATTTTAATTTTTTGTACTTGAATAGTTCGATTCAGCTGGTATTTTAAACAATATATCTGATGAGCTGTTGAAGGCATGTGGCATAAAAGGAGGGCAATTTATACGAATCAAAAATGCATTGGCAACGATTAACAACTTGGACAAGTTTCTGCCAGTAAGAAATATTCCATCCACCATTGAACCATCCACCCAGAAGATCGCTTTATCCACTAGTCATTCCTGTGCCATAAATGACCATTTCAGCAATTCTTCAGCGTCAATTGAAGAAGCTAATTTGTCAACAGGCACAGCGTCACCTACAACATCTAGTACACCTCGACATACCATAGCATCTGAAAAGAGTAATCAACCTTCACCAAGCTTTGTACTTGTGGAAGAAAGGAAACCGAACAAGAACTGGATAAAAGGTTTTAAACTTCCTATTTCTGAATGTTAAATAATATACCTCATAATAGGTCACATTCTAATGTTAAAATTTATCTTTTGTATTTTACAGTTTTCTCCAAGAGTGAATGAAGCACTGCAAGCAGGAAAACTTAATGGAAACCTTAGGGATGAGTTTACTGGGGACATTTGTTCTTCTATTAAAGCTCATACAATGTTTCTATCCAGAGAAGAAAAACAAAGAGTGGCTTCCATGATTGTAGAAAAATATACTTTTCTCGTCGATTCACTTGGAGCTGGTACAGTAAGTCATATTCATATTATTTAATGCATAAGATAATCTTTAGAAGAAATCCTATAGCTTTGCTCGCTATCTCTTATAATGTGCAGCATGAACTTTCTTCGTTACAGGGGTCATGGTTGAAAAGCAATCACTAATCGATTCAAAAACATGCGTAGAAAGAAGACAAATTCAACAACAAGATCTGTTTGTGTGTCTCAAACTACACAAAAGCAGCCAGAAACAAAGATGTTTCTAAGCTGTTTTATATATATATATATACATTTAACTTTACTGGTTTCATATATTGACTTGTTTATAGTATGTTTTATGTTTTTGTATATATTTATATGTGTGAATACATGCATATAAATCATTTCATTTTTTTTAAATATATTTACTGCTCAGCATTTTGTGTCGCGTGTTTAACTGGCCTTACATACAATAAGAAAAATTACAAAATAACACCGAATTTAAGTGTCATTTTGACACCGGACGTTAAGGGCTAAATTAGCACTTTAACAAGTGCTATAATAACACCAAGAATAGGCGCTATTTTAGCACCAAACTCGGTGTTAATTTAAAACCAGTAAGAAAATAACACCCGAAATGGTGTTATTCTGTACCTTTTAATTTAACACGACATTTTAGTGTTAAATTAACACCTTAAAATTTACAGTGTTGGGATGTTCAATTTGCTACGGCCGCACAATGTGCGTTAGCAATCTAGGTGCTATTATATCTATCATTTAATCATGAAAATATGATAAATTTATGTTTTAATACACATGTAATCAATGAATTACGTTAATAATAAATTATCATAACTGATTTTTCCAACTGGCATATAATTCTATTCCTGACAATCAGACTAAAATCAATATAGCGTACGCTGTACGTCTTTTGTGTTCAAAAGGTTAGTTGCTTGTGATAAGGGGTAACTGGTAACAATCCGCTTATATGGACGTTGCAGCAAATAGGGGTTTGAAAAATTACACTGTTGTTTCAAACACAAGAATTAAGTTGTTGTTTTGTATATCACTATACAAACGGGGGGAATTACCTTCCTCTTTTTTGTGTCAGTTTCAATTTCATAGTTATATATGTTGCTTTGTTGACACGTGATCTCAATGACTTTCTTCCTTTTTCCTAACTCCTGCCCACGCCTCAAATCAATCAAAGTGACGGAATTGTATTAAGAATTTGTAGTCAGAGTAGCAAGAAAATGTATAGGATGAATTAAAGAAAGAAAAGTTACTATTTCACTTTTTATAAAACATATAGACAGTGATTTAAGCTCAATGACAATAGATACTTAAGACATTCCAAAACTCATCACAGTTAGAATAGACCTTTTGATAAAAGAATATCAATTTAAGTTCGTTACATATGAATTATCTTAAGAGGACCGATATAGTACGTAACGTATGCATGATTTTCATGTAATAAACTACTAGAATAGAGTGTTGTCATCGATGATAGCATGACATATCTCATACAACAAACAGTATGACAACAAAGGCGGTGACATGAAGTTTATTACCTTTTTATCACTAAATATATCCGAAATCGGATCGGGATGCGCTTGAGTTGGTGCTGCTTCACCAATAAAATGCAGACTACACCGGTAGCTATATATTGTACAGCAAAAATCACTATCACTAGGCATTCTTTTATCCGACGTTTTCACCTTTCGAGTGATCTTTTTGGAGAAAGGAAGGGTGAAAAATGTATTGGATCACCTCTTTTATTCCTTTTCCATAGTTCTAGATTTTTCAAATCATTTTTGCACGTACACCATGAGCAATGCGGCCATATTTGTTTGGTTAACGTGATTACGACACGTGCATCTACCGCAGAAGTCGCAAATCATACATAAAAGTTGTGTAAACAGTTGGGCGGTAGTGTGGGTTAATACAAATTATAAGTTTTCTCAATTATAGATAGTGTAGTTGAGATTACAGTTATTTTTTTGGGTCTATAAGTGTGAGTGGGCTTCAGTTTGAGTCCATGATCAAAATTGGCTTGTAAATTACTTGATCGTCTCGTGGAAAATTGTGGCTTGTGGTTGTCTAGCTTGCTTCAGATTTCTCGTAGATGTTTGTAGTTTTTAACTATTCGGGGAACTAATCATATAGTGGCTTGACGCACTTGTTTTGATTTCATGATTTATGTAGCTAATGACTGAAGCACCTTATTTCCAATTGTTCGCACAAATTTCTGATATGGGATTAAAGACAAAATAATCTTTCTAAGATTTGAGTAACATTAATTTCCCGTTGTGATAAGAATCTATTTCTAACCAAGGAGAATGACGTCACAAACAGAACAATATCTTAATAATATTTTCTGAGAAAAATATTGCTTCTAAAAGCGAAGAACATTTTCGTCATTCTTGTAAAAAGTAAATAAGGTTGCGTGAGAGAAAAAAATTAGAGCTGTGTTTTCACAACGATGTCTCGTCTCGTAAAATAAATACTTTTATTTAAACACTTGCTATGCGGTGTCCAATGTACAAGGCTACAAGCTACCTTTTCTTTTACCTTATTGCTGATTTCTTCTTATCTCGACAGTACTTTAATCGCTTAATAACGAAAAAATAATCAGAGCGGCGTAAATTACGTACTTAATCTTTGTCACAGGTGTTCTGGCGATGCTTACCCAAAACATGCTGTGTCACAAATTGCACGAACTATAAACACTGAAAATTAAATCAGCTAATAAAGCATAAGATTTTATTAAATATTTTTATTTGAAGTGATAAATCAACAGATACAAAAAGTGTTTTATTTAGTTGTCTATACTATAGTTGTCAGATGTTGACAAGAAGAGAACCTTACATCGTAAAATATTTCCAAATTTCTAGAAACGTCAAGAAATTGCAAAATCGATTTCAAACCAAGTTGCTATCTATCTGTTATGCAACTGTTGTCTGTTAATTTTGTTGTGGCTGTGTAAGAATTTTATCAAAAGTTTTCAGAGCGCTTTAAAATAAGTGGTTGTATTTGTAAAGTTTTTAATTGAAAAATGAAAAAAAAAGATTTTCGCGCAAGAAATCCTCAGCTGCTTTGCATGCAGATGTCTCAGAGGTTGAGGAAATCTGCAGCACAGTGTATATATTACTTTCTCAAATTTGATTGGACGACATGAAAGTTGTCATAGACATACTGACAAACATTGTAGCTACATAAATACTGTCGTACGAAAAATCACCTCAGTTAACGAAGAGAAGACAGTTCGAAGGCGAAGTCAAATTTAAAAAGTAAGTTAAATACATATAAAAAAAACATTTATTACAGTTCATGGGATTTTAGGAAAAATTCAACTTGCACATGTCAAAGTCGAAATTTCGGTGAAAGCTTAACTGTTCTACTGTGTTTAATTTGTTGAATTGAAATAAATATAATAAAAGAGAAGATAACATATATTTATGAGTTATTTTATTCAGTTGTCTGTTTTAATGACCAAATAAATGAGAGAATGAAATGTGAAGACATAAAAAGTAATTTAAGCCTTTACGACTTTTAAAAATCGTCATACGTTCTTCTGTACCGGCAATTGTACAAATTTTTAAACTTAAAAGCACTGCCGTATGTTAATATGTTTTGTTCAAAAGTCTTTGTTGAAAGTGGCAATACTTTTTGTCTCTCTGTTGACGAGAAGTTTAATTATGTTACTCGTAAAGACCATCCTAATTTAGTATGGACGCAGCTGCTATTATTGGCTGCTTTAAACTTGTTTCTGCTTTTCTATTTTTGCTTCTTGGTGGAGGAGTCCAATATTTTGTACCACATTCGTGCTTCCATAAGCCTAAATTTCATACAAGGTATGTAACACTAAGTTCAACACGACTAAATGATTATTACCTCTTTGTCCGACAAAAGGGTAAACATTTTCACGCAACATGACAAAGTAAAATAAAAACGCAGCCATGAAAGCTGAAATAAAATGATTAAATGTGAAAAATCATGCATATCTTTATTATACATCACAGAAACAAATTTTGGGTTTCTGTGGACAAAATTCAAGTAAATTGCGTAAGCGAGCTAAGATGTGGAACATTTCAGGTAGGATGTTTTCTGTTTTAAGTTTTGATAAGTTTGAACTGTGTCGAATAGTCTTCTCTAAATTTAGGTTCGAGAAAACAAAATCCAAACAAATCACCTGTAGCGACAACACACTTTAAAGGTATTTTAAAATGACCATATAGTGACCTATATTCGTCTCTTTGCTCTTGAGTATTAAATGATCATTTTTGGGACACAATTTATATCTTCATAGCTGTCAAGACAATTTCCAACAGTAAACGACAAATTGTATTAGCCGCGAAACACTGACATTATTTTTTTTTCTCATAAAATCAATGACATTATCGTAGCTATATTAGTTTTACTGACATATTTTTAGTTGAAGTTCTTCTCGTGATTCAACCTCCATTAAGGAAAATTTATATTTAATGTCTATTCTAAAAAATTTTAGAGAAAAAAGAGAGAAAGAACAATTTGCATGAGAGGTTAAGTTCTCAAGGTAATCATTTATCCAAATGAAAAGGAGGAAATTTGCTTTTCTTTTATTGTCTTGTTTAAAAACCTTAAGTAAATACTTTAAAACGTGCTGTTTATATATTATAATGTGCTGTTTAAAGTTCGCATTCTATATACTGAACTATAGTAAAATCATGATGAATCTTTTCATCTCTATTTATAATATTTACAGTTTAGATGAAATAAGATCTATTCACTTCTTAATTTCAATTTTTTCATGTTTTAGACTTACAAACGATCAAAGATGTAATAAAAAAAGCAACATCTGCACCCTCACCTTACGAATACAGTTTGAGAAAAGGTTGTGCGTTTAATTAATGAACGCATTTCATTTGAAACGAGCACTAACATTGCGTCTTTTAAGCAGATCGTAATTCTTTGAAAAGGACTCGACAAAATTTCAAAGGTAACTAACACTAGTATTGTAAAAGCTCACTCACACTCATAATAACTGAGTGGGGTTTCAAAACCATCTTGTAATTATTCGAAGATGGCATTTCCACTCTTCTCAAATATACTTTAGCGAAAACATTACGATCGAAGGAGAACATTGCCTTTGGTTAGAAAGCATGCTCTTTTTTGTTGGGTGTGAGTGTGGGTGAGCTTCTAGAATACGAGCATATAAGTCGTCTGTTGGGTATTTATGTGGTAAAGGAGTGGGTGGTGGCATGTTATTTTGATATTTATTTCCATTTTTTTTTCTAACAATTGCTTCCAAGCAAAACTTTCGTGACATTAAAACAAAACTTTCGTGTCATTTCGTTATTCAGTTGATAAAGCTTGCAATATTTTGGTCATATATGGTATCTCGAATGCACATATGCGAAGTGTCATCAAACATTTACGGCAATAAAACATGTACAGTGAATCTAACTACATGGCACATGTCAATGTTTAACAAAAACATAAAAATACTCCCATTGTGTTATTTTTGAAATCTCCAACAGGTTTGGTGGAAATATTGACAATACAGTAATACTTCAAAATAGTTCTAAAAATCACAAATACCATAGTGAATGGTTAAAGTAATATAATAAGTTGATAGTTCGGGTTAGTGCTCTTTACTTAAAACAGTTCTTTTAAGAACTATCAACTTATTATATTACTTTTACCATTCACTATGGTAATTGCGATACTTAGAACTATTTTCAAATTTGTCACCACGACAAAGTCTCTATTCATGTATGTTAGACTACTGTATGTTAGACTACCCGCATTTTCGAACTGAATAGGCTAACTGCATGAGCCAAGTGCATATATATTATTAATTGTCATAATGTGCAAGTTACCAAAAAATGTCACATTATGCAGCAAAGAACTTTTTTGATAAAATAAAGCGTTTTGTGAACTTTGTAGAGCTAATAGCACTCTTTAAGCCAGTAATATTTTGTGTGCACATATAAGTACAGATTCATTTCGCGCCAAATTCAAAAAGTAGGCAAATAGAAATTGAACTGATGCAAATTTGATTAAAGTTCCAAAACATCGCATAGCACAAAGCTCAACCAGCTTTTATTGTTGTAATTTAATAAGGTTTCTTCCTAACCATTGTTAACATGTTGAGTAAAGGTGATGACGACAGCGACTGTTATCCCTATCAAAGCGAATTGTCATCTTCAACGCCTTACAAAAGGTGAGGTCATTGAATCTGAAATAAGTTTAATCATTTTCGAATTCCTTGTTCTTTTCCTTTGATTTTGACAGAATAATTTCATATTTTATTTGTGGAATAGCATATATATTTGATGGTGATTCGTAGATAAGCAAATTATAAATTTATGGCAAAATTTGTGTTAGTATTTAGGTAACACTATTTGTGGAATGTTAAAACATAAAACATGATGTGATAATTTCACTATTAAAATTGACACAAGTGGCACAATCGACAGTAAATTGTTTACTTATTCACTGTACTCTTGTTGAATTTGATTTTTTATCAAGAAATTTGAAATGCAGTTGTTTGATTTTATATTTAGCTCAAGAATCGACATCAACTTAATTATTTAAATTTAAAAAATTTTCTCTATACCTAAACACATTTGACTCTAATAAAATGATCTTAGGGCTTACGTGCGTAAGTTGTGTTTCTTCTGATAATTTCAATAATATCAAACCCTCTCTCCACTCACAAGAAAAAACAAAGTGTTTGTCATATATTTGCTCTTATATTGGCTACTTTATAAATGCTGTCACTCATATCTTATTTTTGATATTTGTTGCTCTTGTTTTACCAGAAAATTTTTTTTGCCTCCAGAGTGGAACGTTTTTGTTATAATTATAGAAAATTACGGAAAAAAGAAAGTACCTGCTACGATGATACAGGTGGGCAAAATTAACCAGTCCATTTCTTAATTTATGAAGCCATCAGTTAGCAGAATGTTGTAGACACAAACTAACATGCTTAGTTTTATGGCACGAAATAATCGTCTAAATAATGTGTACAATCGATTACGTTGTTTATAACTTTTAACATGGGAGAGGTTTCATTGCTGCTATGTTACTGTTATTACATTTCATAAGATAGACTACAATAAAACATTTCATTATCATACTACAATAGAATATTTTTGAAAGAATAGTCGTTCACTGAATCTTTTTTGCAGAACAAACAAAAACTTTTTTTCATGACCTTAAAGAAAAAAATATTGATGGAGAATCGAGTAGCTCTGCGCAAGGTAATTTATGACATTAAAATTTACATTATATGAAAAACATCTGTATGTATGTGCCCTTTTCGTACTCAGAGGTAACATAAGAAACCATGCTAAAATATGTATGAAAAATTGGGTTTTGTGTGAGTAAATTTTGACTAAAACATGATCTCTTCCACAAAATAATTTGTATTCCAACATGTAATCGAAATCAGATTTAGTCCTAATTAATATAAAATTTCCTTATGAAATATAAATGTATATATGTTATGTTTTTCTACCACTTTGGGGCCGTAGCTAGAACGTTAATTGGGGGAAGTGTTTATTCATATAATTATTTTAGCCTGACAGAGTTCTTTTGGAAGTTATTCGGCTTTCTAAAATTTTACTAGTTACTTGAAAAAAAATTTTTACTAGGTCTCCAAAGCAGCCAGAGGCCGACGGACAATTCTGAGGACAAAGAAAAAAGTTTTTCAGTAAAGTCTGACCCAAATGGTAAATAACGTTTTTATTTTTTTGATTTGATTATAAAGCAACTCATTTCATAAAATGATCGAAAGGGCTTGTTGAGACTGAAAATTTACCATTGAATTCTTTTCTACAAAGCTCATTTCATCTTAAAAGTAAAACAAATTTTTGCCATGAATAATATAGTCTGAATACGGTTTTGCTTCTCCTTCAACAATACACACAATTTAAATAAATTTTAATTTATAAAGTTGTGATCCCACTTTGTAAACAAATTGAATGCGAAAAAATACCACTTTTCGACCTTAGTCATGACAACGTAGGAAGCCGCTCACTGGTGCTGCCAATCAGATGGAAGAAAAAGAAAAAATATTTATTGGGATGTATAAAGAAAAAAAATAACATAATTTATAGGAAGTTTTGAAAATTTTGTCCCGTTTCATATTTGTCAACATTATGAGTTTCATTTTTATTATATTTAGAAGAAAACCATGACAAGAACTTTAAAAAATTGCTCGACGAAACTAAGAGTATAAAAGCTGACGTTCACGAAGCACTTCAAAGGTAAATTATTTTCGCTAAGATGTTTATAATGCATGGCAATCGAGGTGTGTTAAACATTTTGATAAATGTAGATCGAAAAATAGATTTTAGGACAATATCGTTTTGCCAAGGACATAGAATTTTTTTTATTAAAGGACAGGGAGATAGCAAAATAATAATGAAATTTTGAAAATTTATATCCTAGTAACGGCAGAAAACGGCTAGTTTATTGATTTCCATCCTTACCTTTTTGGTATCAATATAAAAGTCGTAAATTTTCAGTAGTCGTCGTTTAAAAAGAGCATCAATTTGTAAGAGCAGTCATTTCAAAATGACGCTATGTCATTTATCGTGTTAAAAAGTGGTCATGTTATATGATTTGACATTTCAAAAAGTCGGCATTTCATAAAAGAGGTCATATTTAAGGTTGTCATGTTATATGAATTATAATTTCAAAAAATGTCGCCATTTCTTTTTGCTATCTCATTTAAGTTGCGCATGGCTTTCTGGAGAGTATGGAACAACTGGTCCAAACGAAACGATGCCGTTTTCTCACTTGTATGTCACAGTAAATGAAGGAGAGGAAAAATCATATGAAATCTTTAAAAAAGATATTGATGAAAAGTTTGGATGGGAAGCTTCGAAATACGTTGAATTACGATCTAAGCCACTGAAAGAAGCGAAGTTTCGAATGCTGTCCGAAGTTCATGCTGTGAGAAGTGAGGGTAATCGCAGTACATTGACAGTATTTTGTCTTAAGAATGACACGTATTATGCCTTGACTTGTGCGCATGCCGGTGTTGTTGATGATTTATTTGTCAAAAACTTTGGGGCAATTTCAGCTAACATTCAAATTTACAAAACGCGCACGGAATATTTTTACATGCATCCAAATAATGACAGAATAGTGCCATTGCAAATTGGTCAGTGTGAAAAGCCAACTAGATTTGTTATGAATGAAGAAGTTGATATCATGAACATTGCCATTGGTAATAAGGAAGATTTTCAACAGATTGCAACGAGTAGTTTGCAGCCTCTCAACTTGTGCTTACATGAGGCGAATCAAGAGCTTTCTCGTAGAATTGATAAAAAGAACGAAACTGTCAAAGCTCGAGCTGCAAACGCACGGGGCGTTATTCAAGAGTTGAACTATTGTAAATCAGATTTGGACAACCAGAAGAAAGCTATATACAAGAATGCAGTCAAAGTTAAAATTGAGAACGACCCGTTTCTTCGTTCCGGAGATTCTGGAGCACTGGTATACTTTTTAAACAAAGAAAACAATTGGAAACCATTTGCGTATGTTGTTGCAGAAATAGAAAACGAAATTATTAGCGATTCAAGTAAAACTTACATTTGCCTGAAATTGGAAAGGCTTTAAAAGAACTAGACCTTGAAAATGGGCAATATTTCACTGACAATGAAAATTAGTAACTGAAAACATAATAAGTGTATAAAGTGCATATATATATATATATATCAATGAAAAATAAACAGAAAATAGTATGCTTTTATTGCTACAATGGCATCTAACAAAATATAACTGTAATTGCTTTAATGTAAATTATGTACAGTGCCATATATAGGTGAATAGTGCAATACAACTTTAATAATAACTCCGTAAATACTTTACTGTGAACAAATAATTATGCACGAATAAATATAATTATAGTAAGTCAATTTTCATTGTGTGTCATATAGTTTTAGTGCACATAAAATATTAATTAATTGTCTAATAATTTAAATGTCCAACACATTTTAGCCCAGAGGCGCAATGGATTTAAATGTCCAATAAGAGAACTTGTTATTTGAAAGTGCTGTTGGCGATACTCTTTTCTCAGTTCCAACGTTCATAAAAAGCGCTTCGTCCCCACATTACATGAAAATTACAAGATTTTGATTATAATTGCTCGAATAAGGCGACATTTGCCAAAATAGGGGTATTTGTTCATAGAATGCGACAAGTTTGGATTAGTTACAATCTATGTAATAATCGTGTTATATTTGACTCTTTTAAAAAAATAATGCTTGCATGAAATAAAAGGAGTGATTTTCTTCAACTTTCCAATAGGGATTTTTTTAATTTGTCCTTGAGCGCAAAATATTTAATTTTAAAGAGAGTTATCTTTTGGCGTGTTAATTATTGAGTGTAAAGAGAGTTATCTTTTGGCGTGTTAATTATTGAGTGTAAAGAGAGTTATCTTTTGGCGTGTTAATTATTGAGTGTATTGATTAGTGTAAAGTAATAACACGCCAAAAGATAGCTCTATTTGAACACAATTGACGTGTGGGTGACAATTGTGTATTGTCATCGTAGATTAGTGTAAAGTAATGTTTTCAGTTGCTCGCTTGTTTGTATTGGGAATAAGTCATATATAACGTGCCGGTAATTGTTGTGATCTGTTCAAGGGGTTTTGCTCTAAGTTGGTGTACCAACTTTCTAACGTAAGTCGTTTTCTATAGTAAGCGCTGTTAGTAATGCATTTTTGCCGAGTCCCAGTCAATGTTGTGTTTCGTCAGTCGTTGATGTTCGGCAATGTGATTGGTTTTGTCTTGTTTCTTTGTAGCTCGTTTGTGTTCAGTAAGTCTTATGTTTAAGTTCCTGCCCAATCTCCCCGATATAGGAAGCGTGGCAATTGGAGCAGTTCATTTTGTAAACTGCACCTTGAGGCTCTTTGGGCTGTTCTTTGTCCTGATGTTCGTTATAACTTGTCGTAACGTTGTGATTGGTTTATGTACAAAACGCATATTGTTTGTAAGTGTGAAAGTCATCAATCTCGTCTGCATGTAGGGCTGTGATTGATACTCACACACCCACACGTTTCCTTGTACACACAATACGATGACGTAAGAACTATATAAGAAATACGGCTAGCCTGACGTTGACTAAGAAGAAGACTACCGCTAAGGTTGTCGAAACGTCAGTCAACATTAACAACAATATTCCTTCTCAGGATTCTACTAACCTGGAGGATCGACATCCACAAACATGAAAGATACTTCCGGGCTCAAACCATTTACTTTAATAGAAATAAATAATAATAAACTGTTTGTAAGATTTATTAATTGGAAATTGAACTAAAGTTGAACTTGTTATAAAATTTGTAAATCAATCAATTTTCGTGTATATTTCTGTTGTAGCTTTAGCCTTTAAAATATAAAAAATTTGCATTTCTTATTCTATCGTCTTGGTGTTATGAACAGAGCTCAATACTTTACAATAAAAAAAGAAGATGATTGAACTTCATCATTCAGTAAACATTCCAATTTCTTTATCATCAAGCAAAAGCAAAGACATCATGTAGTTGGTTGCGTCTCCATTGATCTTTCTGGATTTGTAAAAGGTATGTTAAGTTATTTTAATGGCTTTTTGTGTTATTATATATGATCAAATAAAGAAAAAAAAGGTCTTTACGATCTTTTGCTGGTAAAATTAGTTATAGGTAGCAGTGCAAAAACAGCAAAATTCGATTAAAGTTGGTTAATAGAGCAAAAATTTATACACCAACACGGATTAACACACCGTTTTTGATATATTTGTATATGAAATAGCAGATTTTGAAATTTACCTAAAAAATTTTTTTTTGAAAAGCATTTCAATATTGTTTATAATGATGCAACTTCACCTTGACACCTTCGTTTAATTAAAAACAAGCGGTATCTCTTTTATTTAACATTACGTAATTTTGCAAATATTTCATACAAGAAATAAAAGGTTTTTACTGTGTTACCACGGCTTCGTACAAGCCAAGAAGACCTTTGAGAGAACTTGAGAGCAGATCAGTGCAAGCTCGAGAGTGGAGATCGAAAGTCATGCTAGTAGGTAGTCAGACTGCAAGTTTGGTAGTGTTGTCTAAATTTTACTGTGTTCACTCACTACAAAAACAAATAGATTTCTAAGGAAATGAATGACGATAATTTAAATAGTAAGACTAAATTTGGGGACTGGCTACGCCACTGAAGTCATGTGTTGCCTTGTTGCCTTTTTCTTGGCAAATGCGCTCCATTGAACATAAATGACGATCATGCTCCGGCTTAATTGTTTGGTGTATTTGTGTTTTGTATGGAGATTGGCACCATTCCCTCATCCTCTCCGGCGTAAGCAAGGTCGGACTAACACAACCTCCCTTAGATCTATTCTTGCCTGAAAATATGAAAACTTATCTATATCCTGTCTTTTTCATTTTTTTCTTTATTTCTCTTTAACTAAAAAATATAAATATTTGAACGTTTATTTCTTTGTCGTTCATGTTCAAGACACTGAGGATGAAGAAACAACCGAGTATAGAATTTTTAGAGAGTGTAGCTTTGGCACTTTCTTATTTTTCCATGCATTCCTTTCATTACCTCCCTTTATATATGACATTATAGCATTAACAGTTTACGCTCGCATTCTTTACGTTCCTTTGCTTTTACATTTCATGGTTTGCTTTTGTAACTTATAGTGTAAGCAATACGAAAACTTTTAAAGTTCAAATGAAATTTCAAAAATCATTGACATGGTCAGGGTAACTTGAAAAACCCACAACTTTATAATTTCTGAGTATCGCACATTTAAACAGGAGATGGCACGAATGCCATTTTTCCAGCACATTCAGCTCGTACTGTTTTCAACAGCATAAATGGTCTAAATTAAAAACATTTAGCCAGTCTGCATTTGCAAAAGAAAGGAGTGATTATATGTCTGAAATACCAAATACTGACCTCTCGAAACACGGCGCCTAAACTTAAGCCTAACTAGGCTACTTGGTCATCTGCTGCTGGTAATGAGCTTCACCTTTTCTGCAATTCATGCTGTACGCATTGAAGCTCTAGAAAACTGAAAGAAAAACAACCCATCAATACAGACAATACTATGTCTCATAAGATGTACGGTACTTTTTTAATCACATTCCTAAAAAATTGACCTAGATACGACGTATCCCTGAGGTACAATGTGACTAGATGTGACTGGTATGGTGTGACTTTGCTTCTTATGCAATAGTAGATAGCTCTTTCTTGGTCCGTGCAAGGCCAGTAAGGAAAAGGAGTGTGATTTAATGAAGGATTTTCTGATTTCGCAAACTCCTCGTTTCTTTACAATAACACCTTTCCATCTAAAGATCGTATGATTTGTGCGCACTGCACATGCGTACATATGGGAGGGTGTAGTGGTGTCACTCTTCCAAAAATTTTATTTTGAAATGTAGTCAGTAGAAGTACTATATTAGTCCATAGAAAAAAGATTTTTGACGACTAAACAACATTACGGATAATTTGGAGGAAGCGTAAATAAGAGTTTAGAGACTAAAGTTTTTGTACAAATGAAGAGTAACTTAAGAGCAAGACAGTTAGACGGTAAAACACGTGCAGTTCGAACAGTGTCACTGTACGAGGATTTGACGCCGCGCACTAACATAAATTAGATGATGCACGATAGTCCATGACGACATCTTAATTACTTTAGTTCATTAACTTGTTACATTTAAATTCAAATTTGTTGACTTGTTGACGTGTAACAGTTGTTATATAAAGAGGCATGGAGCTGAGTCCATTACAATGTGATTACTTTGAGATTACTGCGATATTATTCAATAAGTTAACACCAATCAAGGGACGTCATTTAGTAGACTTTAAATTGTCAAGGTTTGTCCAATAGAGTAGTCGGTACAAGTTCGTTGACCAGTCGGTTGAAAGGATACCCCCCATTAATAAATTTTCTATAGACGGCCTTGGCAAGTTATTCTTTGAGTTTGGATTTTTTGTAAATTGTAATGTATATGAAACAATTTACTATTAAGAAAACAGTTGTATTTTTAATTTATTTGTTAAAAAATAACGAATATTAATAATAAAATGACGACTTTTTTATGTTGTCATTTTGAATGATAAATTTCAGTCGAATGTGATGTTCTTCAGTTGTTGGATGCTGTCATAAACTTATTTGTTGCATTATTAAACATTCAATGTGATCAAGTTCTTTGCTATTTTCTAAAATTCTCGTTGACAAACGTTTTTAAGAAGAACGTACAATGGATAGTTCGAAAAAGAAGAAATGCGGTAAGTTTTAATTGTATTAATCATTTGAGATGGACGACGTTAACTTTTTCTATTGAAAGATTGGAGGGGGTGAGTTGGGGTGAAGGCAAATGTATTTCTGCATCAAATATCCTGATATACACTATACTGGGCGTGTAAGAAACTGCTTTTCCTTAAAATACACCAACATTCAAAATTTGCATGATTTAGCAGTGTTTGAAAGAACAAAGAAATTCAACATAACTTTTTTATCATGCATCCTTTTACTGAATATTATTCATATATATCATACGTCCTGCATACATTTAATATGGTAAATACTCTACTGCTTCAATACTCCACTGAGGATGACCTGAAGTAAGTTGAAACATGTTTAGCTAAAAAAAAATTGTCGTCTATTTTAAATGCACAGTTAATCATTCATGGAAAACATTTTTCTGTTAATTCATTTACATACTCAGATTCATTGCTACATAAGACACATATACTTAATTCACACATATGCTATCTTCATAAACAAGTTCAATATTTCAACACAAATTTTCATAATTTCCATTTATATTTATATTTTTTGTTTTGTACATTGTCTTTGTTTAATATTGCAATCCGTAATTGTGGTGTTACAAATAACGCTTACCATGCATGATATGTTTTTAATTACATACTTTACGTTATAAGTCATTAGCTAATTCCTATTAAAATCAGAATTATGGAAATTCTTTTGTGCTCAAAATGTTGTACTTATGCTCATCATAATGGTAATTTTTACAAATAAAATATCTCACAACATTATCAATTTTTCAGCTATGCTCATCGTTTAGTACAGGTTTATGTAATGTGATTTATATAGTGTGGATACCTATCTTAAATTGGTTGGCTATCTTTGTTGAATATTTGGCTTGACCACTTTTTTAATGGAGGCGTGTTTATTCATAAGTTCAGTTGTGCCTGACTGATTTCTTCTGAAAGTGATTTTGCTATAGAAATAATTTGGTTAATATGTGAATAAACACCCTGAAATTAACATTCCTGCTACGGTCCTGTGATTGACACATCTGTCAACTTAGGTTTTATTGGTATGTAATTGATCAATTAGACAATGTTGTGTCATCAAGTAACATGTGCTGGCTAATTGTGCTGTGCACCACGACTCTTCCTTGCTTCTCATCTCTTTCTCATTAATGACACTTGAAAATATTGTTGCTAGTGAGGTGCCAGGCTGTAATCAAATTCTCAATATAAAAATTAGAGCCCAACAGGTAGTTTTTAAAAAAGCCATAAGCGGTTTGATTTTATGATATTGTGAAGGAAATCAAGTGATCTTTTGTCTTGGCGTCAGACATCTTTAGACTAATTACAGATACTGCGTCACAAGGAAGTATATATGGAATATATATTTGTTATTTACATAGTTGGATGTGTCAGATTTCTGCAATTATACAAGTTTGATGTGGAGTACATATCTCTATAGGAACTATACTAAAAAAGCTTGAGATGGATGAAACTACTTCGAGCTGATGGTAATAGCTCTTGAAAAATCGATTTGATTTAAATATTTGATATGAAGCTTATTGGAAATAGTATTTTTTCATTTATTTGCTTGCAATTCTTCAAAAAGTTACACATAAATTCAATAATATTTGACAGAAATCTTTACGTTTGTCAAGGTTTGAAGCGTAAGACATCTTTGCCATCTCATGACGAAAGTTCAAAAAGTAAAGTTAAAAAGAGGAAAAAGAAACTGTCGAAAAAAGGTATTATATTGTTACGTTTTTAAAAAACTATAATTCAGCAGTTCGACTTAGACTACGAAGGAGACGGAGACATTGTCGATCCTCTTATCGCATTTCGTTTTGATAGCGAAACTATAAATATGAAAACTAAAATGGCGATAATTCAACTGTCAATATGCATCGGTTAGCTGTGAACTGTCCTACAAAGTTCTTATTTTACTGTGCATGCAACTTCTTTAGTGCACCTGGATTGCGTATTTTTTAATGTTAAAGGTTTGAAATAGATCATGAAATTGACGTGTAAAAGTGTAGAAACATTTGACGACATGTAGAATTTAGAAAATTGAAATAACCTCGTTGTTTATTGTTTTAGAAAATAATCCCACTGTTAGCGTTGCTCTTCCTGGATCTATTCTATGCAATGCTCAGTCTTTGGAATTAAGAACATATTTGGCGGGTCAGGTGTGTAACATACGTTGATGCTTGTGGTAATTGTTATGCTGATTTCAAATGAAAATTTTCTCAAAGTTGTATACAGCCCTCTCGCGAATAATCAGTTTGGGGCATTGTTTCTAAAAGGTAATTTTATTCAAAGACTTGATTGCACGGCATGTGGCATTGTTCACTGCGCAGAAAGAATAGAGTCACAGTGCAAATTTTTAGAGGATTACTTGTGTGACATTGGGACTCGAGCTGATTAAAACATTCATTTCGTCTTCTGTTCTTATATCCTTGAACTGTTGCAGACAATTTTTCAACGTCTGTTATTAAAAATCGATGTTTGTCCTTCAAAATGAAATTTTTCCTCCATCGATTATTTCTGAAAATAATAAGAAAAATTAGAAAGAAAATCTTGCAAGAGCTTAGACGACGTAAAGCTGCCATATTTGAAAAATGAGATGGTATTAGTAGTATAGTACATGGGGGTTCTAGCGCACGAAAAGTGCGCTATAATCCCCCATGTACTATACTACTTATGATCTTGGGTAAAAACTATTTTTATAACAGCTTAAAATAAGACCATGGTTCAAAGACGTCCCTCTGGTAAAAAGGTCATGTAAAAAAGCTGTGTAAAAAATTGTTTGTTTCAATATAGTAGTAAAAACTTTCTTTATAACAGCATAAAATAAGACCATGGTTCAAAAGGCGTCCCTCAGTAAAAGGTCATGTAAGAAAGCTGTATGAAAAAAGTCATTGTTTCAAAGGGGTAAAAATTTGGAATCTATATGTTTTTAAAAACGGTCTTTACAAACAAATGTTAACAAGCATCGGTTCGGAGGGGGCTCGGCAGCGCAAATTTTAGCGTAGCTAAAATTGAGCAGGGGAATGGAGCCCCCGAGAATTCTAAGCGACGGTGGGGAAAATTTTCACGAAGTGAAAATTCGGAGCGCCCCCTTACATTCGAAGAATATTCGAAGAATATTCGAGAATAACAGAGGCTTAAAAAATGCTCTTCAAAAAACCGTCTTTAAGAATTAATTGTTAATAAAGCATCGGTTCGGAGGGGGCTCGGCAGCGCAAATTTTAGCGTAGCTAAAATTGAGCAGGGGATGGAGCCCTCGAGAATTCTAGGCGACAGTGGGAAAATTTTTCACGAAGTGAAAATTGGGTCGCCTCCCGTGGATTCGAAGAATATTCGAAGAATATTCGAGAATAACAGAGGCTTAAAAATGCTCTTTACAATCTATCGTTTAAAATATGGAATCTATATGTTTTGAAATATATATGCGTTTAAATTTTAAAACTATCTTTAGAAATCAAGTGTTAACAAGGCCCTTCCAGGAGGCTGTCAGGCGCGTGTCTTAGTGCATGTTTTTCAACAATGGTTGTTTAATGTAACCAGCACATTTCATCAGCGCATGTATAATAATACAATGTTGTACAAAATATGGAATCTATATGTTTTTTTAATTTGTCTGTCAAGCGAGTGTTATATAATTTTTGTTAAAAGTGTTTTTACTAATTGTTTCAGGATTTTGAATCTTTTTGTATATCGCTTTTGTATTAATTACTTATTACAAACAGTTATGTGATATGTAGTCAAACATGAGGAGCAGGTATGTATGATTTTACTCTAACAGAGGCCCACGCTACATGCTTACTACACATTATAACTGTATATTAAAATAAGTTTTAATTATCATTTAAATAATGACCATAAGCTCTAGTATTTATACCATCATATAATATATACCGTTTATCATCAAAACAGCAAAGTGATACTTTATTAATTTCATAACTACTAAGTTGATGGTTTACACTTCTAATTGTTTTCATTGTATGATGCATTTGTTTGTTTTCAAATAGTGTTTGTTTATAGTCTTCATGTTTTATTTTGTTTTTTATAATATTTTTCTTAATACCTTTACATTTTTTATCTCCTTTATTATTATCTTTAATATAACTATACATCTTGCTTCTTAAACCAACAAATTCTTTAACTACTATTCCTGCAGCTTCATCTTTCATTTTACCAATAACTTTTTTATTAGTATTATCATAATATTTATGGCATTTATCATAATCACTGTTATCAAATTTATCTTTATCACCCAAAAATCTTGATAGACATCTTAGTTTCAATTTCATATGTTAGACTATCTGTATCTGTGAATAATAATTTAGCTTTATCACCATACCGATTTTGATATAGTTGTAATGAAAATCATACATCAAAGTTTTACTTAAATCTAAGATACACATACCCACATATGCAGGTCTGTTGAGGGTTAGTGTTTCTTTGATCTTATGCACAGCCACAAGGTTCTCATTGAAAATTTTACTACTTACATAAGTAGGTTTTGAAGATAATTTTAATAATTTATTTTTATTAGTTACTAGTCTAACATCTACTCTTTTCCGTAAATTTTCCATAGTCTTTCCAAAAACACTGTTATTCATTAGTTTAAAAAAGTCTTTTTCAAAGGAATTTTTAGCATCTTTTCTTTTTTGAGTATTAAAGTCTATGTATTTTTTCAACCATGGAGATTGATTGAATTCAAGTACTCTATGTACTTTTTTAACTTTAACCCAAGATCTAAATATAGTTGAAGATTTCTATAATGTAAAACATATTTGTATTTATTTTGTAATGTAGGTATTAATTTTGAAACTAAACCTGTTGATATATTGTAATTAGAAGCAATTGTCTTACAATATTTTGACAGCATGTTGCTAGTTACCTTAATTTTTTCAGGTCCTAGTGGATAATCGTTATGTAAATTATGTAGTTCTTCAGGGTATTCTAAATCAACTTCTAAAATTAAACCTTTTTTACTATCTGCTTGATATTTAGCAAGGTTTATGTTGTTAATCTGTTTATCAGTTAACCATTTGAAATTACCAGTAGGTAAGTTTTGTGACATAGCCCATCCATATAAATTGTTTGCGTCAAGATACATTATATATTTTGAGGGTTTATTCTTATCAAATGTTTTCATATATTTGTTATTTGCCTTACCATATCGGTTAGAAATATAAGAAACACCTCCTCTCATACCCTTTTCAATGAATTGAAACATATCAATATCAGTCATTAGTTCTAATTTAATATCTGTCATCTTCAGCATAGCATCCCAAGACAACCCGGGTGATGTAAAATAATGACATGGGTCTAAGTTATAGTATTCAAGACATGTTTTTCGAAAGTTTTCAAATACATCAGCTAATAACAAAACATCAGATTTCAGATACAAGTCGTGGTAATCACCCATGTTTTTGAGATTGAATGTATTCCACACTTTCTGTGCATGGTTATAAGAATCATCTGAGATATTCTCATCAGTAAGAATACTATAAAAGTCTTTTTTTGAAGGTAACTTTTCATCAAACTTTTCAAAACTATCCATATAATCATATGGGTATATACCTTTTTTAGTCATTAAATTAAGTTTTTCACCTTGAAACTGCTTAGAGGTATATTTAAATGATTCTTTAGGTAAATTACTAACAAGCTTTTCAAGACTAGAGCTCATAAATTGAAAACTATCAAGAAATGTTAAATGGTTACCTAGCATGAAAGCCATATACTTTTCCATATTATTAGGTATAGCATTTATATTCATCTGAATATCTTCTCCTTTTTTGTTTTTGTATGTATGCTTATTAACAATAGCTCCGATTTCTTGCATAATAAAGTGACTGTCATACCCACGCAGATTGTGAAATATTACTGGGATTTTAATTTATCAGAGTCTATTCTAAGTTTTAAATTACAATCTTGATGTGCCGAGCCTCTATATTTTCCAGTGATATGACAATGGTCTCGAACTCGAATATCTTTGTTAGTATATTTTTGTTACAGATATGACATTCATCAGCTTTTTAAATTCTTCTTCATCATCAGAGGTCATTTTAATGGTTTATTAAAGTGGGTTTTCATAATATTTTTACAATATTTAACCTCTTTTAACATAGCTTCCATAAATTTGTAAACAGCTTTTTCACCTCTATATAGTTGAATTTTTTTCGTAAATTTATCATCATAACAACAAACAACTTTATATCCATAGCCACAGTCTGTATGCTTTTGATAGGCTTCTGTATATGATTTTTTATTATTCTGATTACAACTAGATATCTTTTCTGTAATAGCTTCAAAATCGCTATAAATAACAAATGGTACTGGTTGTTGCTTATGATAGTTGTTAAATTTCAGTATGTTATTATTTTTATCAGGCATTTTTATTGATTGTATACCATTTATTAATATACAATTTTCTATATGGTTGTTTAATATTTTTTCAGAACTAAAACATTGAAGACAGCGCATACAAAAGTGTTTTCTTTCTTTATGCTTTGTTTGATTGTACATAAATTTATTAAAATCTTTTATTAATACATAATGTTTGTTTTCATTATCAGTTATCAATAGTAGTTCCATATGGTCTTCAAATTTTTCTTTTGAAATGAATAATGGATATGGTTGTTTATCATCATAACCGAAAACGTTAATGTTAATTCTGTTTTGCTTTTCGATTTTATTATAATGTTTAACAGTCACTGGAAAATCAACTCCTTCATAATTAAGCTTTTCAATATATTGCTTATCAGATTTTTTTATTCTTTGTGGGTCTTTATTTTGTGGGTTAATATGCCTTATATGGCACCACCTAAAACATTCATTATCATGGTTTTTGATATTTATCAAACCTTTATTAGGGTTTTTAAGTTCTTGAGTTAAATTAATGTATGAAGACCCTTGTAATGGCTTGTATTTAACAACATTAAGATAATGATTATCTATAGAATGAATAACCCATCCAGAACCTTCTTGTGTAAATTTATCAATCTTGTTTAATATATTTTGTTTTGAAATTTGTAGTGATTCAGTAATATTTTCATTATTTGTAATTGTTAAAGCTTGACTGTTAAAATAAGCAACTTTTGTTATAAAACCAGCTGTACCACCATCTTTTATTTCAAATTTTTCAAATATTACCTTAAGCGTTTCAACAAATTTTAATCCTTTCATTGTTGTTAATATTTCTTTAATATAATATGTAAGATACTTTCTTGTGCTTTGCATTTGTATTAATGGTGCTTTATTGTTAATAATGCTTATTTCATATGATTTAGTGTATCCTTTTATAGCATTGTTTGTTTCTCTTATTTTAACTCTAGGTGTTGGTACTGGTTTTTTATTTTTATCTGATAGCATCTGTGTATTATTCTCATACTCTTTAATCATCTCTTTTACACTCGTTCTTGGTTTTGGGACTGGTGTTAATACTTTGATTAATTCGTTTTTTCTAAGTTTATAATAACCTTTAACCTTTTTTTCCTTAGCAATAGCTTTTAACTGAGATACATTCATTTGTTTGATATTGGATTGTGATAATACTTTTTGTACTGGTTTGGAAATTGAAGTATTATTAACTTCAACCCACGGCTTTTGATTTAATAATAACTTAATTAAATCGTCTTTAGTCAACTTTTGAAGTTCATCTTTATTCATATTAGGCATATTATATAATATAGGTTTGTCTTTAAGTACCTTTCGATTTAAATAATCTCTATTCATATATATACTATATATTTTATTTTATTTTTTTAAACGCACTAATTTTAATTATAGAAATAAATCTATATTTAAAACTTTTATAAAAATAATTAAATTAATCTATTTAACATTTTTTTAAATATTCTTTTAATTCAGATTTTTATGTAATAAATTTGGTAACATATTTGGCATTAAACCATATTCATAATAAGGATTGAACCCTTTCATATGTAACCATATACACTGATTTAATTGTGCACGAATAACAGGATCATCTAAACTTTCTTGTACAGTAGTATCATAATAATACAATAGTTCTTGTTTATGATTATCAGGTTTAAATCTTAATAATTTTAATTTTTTATTATGTTCAACTAATTTAAAATTATATTCTATTAATTCAGATATTAAAGTATGTTTAAATGTTTTAAAATCTTTACATTTTTATAACCTTCTTGATCAGAATCATAATGTTTTATTTTGTTGGTAAACCATCAATTAATATATATACATCAAATTTAGATAATAAATAATGGTCTAAAAGTCAAAACCCACCCAGGCCCGAAATGACATAATGATATTTTATTATTACTCATTTCAATGTTATTAATATCATCTTTTGTCTTTAAGTCTTTTAAGTTTTTTCTATTTTCTATCATATATAATTACTATATATTTAAATTTTTTTTGTTAAACACACCTAATTTTTTGAATTTATTAAATGTTTTCTAGTTTTAAGATGTAAAGTTTTATATGCTAAACTATATGTTTTATTACATAAATCACAATGCCATGGTTTTGATAGCATATATAATGTCCTATGTTGTTTGATTTGTTCTTTAGTATAAATTTTTGGTCTTCCTCGTATTGGTTTATCTGAACACATATATACTAATACTATATATTTTATTTTTTAAATAGTTATTTAATGCGTTTAAGATAGATTCTAATAATACCAGAAGCAGTTATATAAGGACCATATTCATATAAATCAAATTTTATAACATAAACATCTGTATCTATATTGTTGATTTCATACTTAAAATAACAATCATCCCATCCATGATCTTTATTAAACAAATCTTCAGTGATATGTGTAAACTGTGGTATATAAAAATCACTACTAATATTATATATATTAGGTATATAAAAATCACTACTAAGGTATAAATATTAGATGGTTTAAATGTATTCAATATAACAGGTTCATAATCAATATTCATACTACACATCACATGTAATATTTTTTTTATATTTTCAACATTATATCTATCTTTTGAAAAAGATAACCAGTCTTTTGTATGTAATTCATAATATTTAGTTATATATCTATCAATATCGTCTTTATAATAAAGTTCGTACGTTAATGATTTAATATACATGTTTTTATCTTTCATAATTTCATCTAATAAATCTAAATTAATTTCATGTCCTTTAAATTTATATACATCTTTGTTTTTTATAACTTTCACCATTCTATATAATTACTATATATTTTATTTTTTTAAGGTGCGTTTAAATTATCTTTTGTTTTATACAATGTTTTTTCAAAATCCTTCAAAACACCTTCTAAATTAGAACTAGTTTTTTTACAACATAGAATAAAATTTCTAATCTTTTTTAATAGATCTTTAAGATTCATATATAATCGTAAATGTTTTATTTCTTTGACTCTATCCAATTTTTATAATAAGTACATTTGATGTCTTTATCCCACTCAAGGATTTTATATACTTCACCAAATAATCTATTATCAAAAACTCTTTTTGTCTTACTATTTTTCATATCTCTAACAGGGTATTTTAATGGTATACCTCTCCTACTAGCTAAGCGTATTATATAATAGTTATACATACTAATATTCTTTTTCTGAATCAACTTATGTTTAATCATTGTACTAACAACTCTTATAAAATCATTTGTAATAATTTCAACATATTCAAAAGTTACACACAATCTAATTTTATTATAAAACCATTTTCTCCTTGAATGAACTGATCGTTGACATTTCCAAATTTCAGGTATCCATTCATTAACAATCTTATATGAGTGAACAACACCACAGTGTATACAAACCATTTTATTGTTATCTGAAATAATTTCTTGATTTTTGCAGCATAAGTATGTTTTAACAAAACTATTAATATAATTATCACATATCTTTTTATCACAAAAGCAACAATTTACGTAACCAAAAAACTCTTCTAACTCTTTATGAATAACTTTATTACAATACATATACTAATACTATATATTTTTATTTTTTTAAGTAATTTTATATAATAAATATCCAGATATAATACCAATCACAACCATTGTACCAGATTGATAATTTTTCATATTCTTAGATGGTTTGTAAAAGTCATTTAATTGCGGTTCTCTATTAAATGTTAACCCATTATAATGTATTGTTTTTACTTTTCTAAGCGCATCTAAAGCTTTATTCGTAAGTTCTATATCATCATCAGCATATTGAAGTTCTTGTCTTAGCTGTTGAATTTTATCATGCTGCTTGACTTCATTTTCATAGAACCTCTTTAGCCTTTTGTAGTTTTACTAAAGAATCATGGTATCTTTTCATTTCCTCAGTAACCGTTTTATCAAGTTTATGAAATAGCCAGCCTGCTAGACTAAATCCTAGGCCATTAACAACAGCTCCAAAAGCTGTTCCAACCCACTAGTAATAACACTTGTCATATATATTTATACAGATTTAAATGGATTTTCAGGGACCCATTTTTGTCTTGAGCATATTTAACTAGCATTGTTGATGTTGTAATAGCAATAGCTAGTTTTGTAAAATCTTTAATCTGTTAATTTTGACCTAGTAGTTTTTAGACACCATAGAAAGACCTACAGCAGTTGTTGTCACAAGCACTGCATCAAAAGCTTCATTCATAAATTGTTTTTTAGTCATAGTATTACTCATATATAATAGGAAATATTTTATTCAAATGAGTCTAAATTATATTTTTTATTTTTTTGTATCAAAACATGTTTTTCACTAGTTGTTTCTTCTTTAGCTTTATCGTTTGTTAATTTTTCCTGTCTCTTATCATTTTTCCTTGTATAATAGAGGCTAGCAATAGCGGTTATCACTCCAATAGTTCCAAATAAGAATCCGTAATTAATATTCCAGCTATTATCCTCAATTTTCTTTTTATGTTCTAATTCAATCCTATCTCGCATCTTTTTTTCTTTAGCAGATTTAGAAATAGCAGCAAGTCGTTTACCAGCTTCGACTCTAATAGGGTCTTTCTCTTTTTTAACTGTAGTAATTTTTAGGTTTTCTTCAGACATATTATATAATACTGTAGATTTTATTCACAGATAACTTATAGATAACTTACA